CCAGAGCAAAATCATCTAATGCCGAGGAAGCAAATATTATACTGGGTATTTCAAAACTCTCTCAGATTCGCCCCTCTCTATTGACTAGTGAAGAACAGCAAGAGTTAGCTGAACTACAACTTACCTAGATAATATCTATACCCAGAAGAGTATAGGTGCCTTTGTCAGATCGAGGAAGAGATGACTCGAGGAAGGAGAAAAAAATTCTCATTATTTCTTTAATTTAGAAAAGAGCAAGGCCACAAACAATACACTTGGCACGCTAAAAATCAATAATACAATCACAGAGGATCACAGATTATCCAATTCTGTAGCTCCTTTTATGAAAAGTTATATTCCTCCAAACATATCATCTACTGATTCCTTTCTAAGCTCTTTGACTGCTAACACTATTTCTCAAACTGAACAACAAATTTGTGAAAATTCGATTACAATACAAGAAATTTTAGATGCAATAAATTGTCTAAAAACTAACAAATCGCCCGGGGTTGATGGTTTAATAACAGAATTCTACAAAACATTTTCCCAAGATTTAGCCCCTTTTCTATTAGAGGTTTTCAATGAAAATATCGGAAGAGGTGTCCTTCCACCCACCTTGACTCAAGGTCTAACGATATTAATTCCTAAACCCAAAAAAGCTCATTGATAATTGGTGCCCTATCTGTCTTCTCAATAATGATTATAAAATCCTTGCTGTCGCTCTTGCTAAAAGGTTAAAATCAACTCTACAATCAATCATTGTTGACACACAATCAGGCTTTATGAAGAACAGACATATCACCAATAATAATAGGCTTGTTTTAGACCTCCTAGATTACCCAGAGCTTGTTCAAGACAATAGTTTCATTTTATTTTTAGACTTTTACAAAGCCTTTGATACCTTCGTCTTCGTCTTCCTCCGCTTATCCGGGTCCGGGTCGCGGGGGCAGCATCCCAATTAGGGAGCTCCAGGCCGTCCTCTCCCCGGCCTTGTCCACCAGCTCCTCCGGCAGAACCCCAAGGCGTTCCCGGACCAGATTGGAGATGTAACCTCTCCAACGTGTCCTGGGGGCCTTCTGCCGGCAGGACATGCCCGAAACACCTCCCCGGGGAGGCGTCCAGGAGGCATCCTGACCAGATGCCCAAACCACCTCAACTGGCTCCTTTCGATCCGGAGGAGCAGCGGTTCTACTCCGAGTCCCTCCCGAATGTCCGAGCTCCTCACCCTATCTCTAAGGCTGAGCCCGGCCACCCTACGGAGGAAACTCATTTCGGCCGCATAATTTCATTTTCCAGTCTCTTGACAAATTTGGTTTTGGGCCTTTCTTTAAAGCTGCTATTAAAACTATGTATAAAAATGGTAATAGCTCCATCAAGTTGAAGGGCGGTACTTCTGCCAGATTTAATATTTGTAGAGGTATCCGTCAAGGATGCCCCATCTCCCCCTATTTATTTCTTTTAGTGAGTCAAATTCTGGCCTTTCACATTCATTCTAGTCCTCTTAAAGGTGTAACAGTAGCTGGTAGAAGCTTAATACTAACACAACTGGCTGACGACACAACCTTATTTTTAAGAGATCAATCTCAAATTTCTGTGGCAATCAATGTAATAAATACCTTTTCCAATGTATCCGGCCTCCATTTAAATATAAAAAAATGTGAACTCATGGCAATTAAAAATTGTTCTGAATGTGAATATGAGAATATAACAGTCCAAAATGAAGTTACTTACCTAGGGGTAATTATCACAAAAAATCAACATGAAAGATGTTCAAGAAACTTTAATCCTTTAATTAAAAATACTCAGAAGAAGCTTAATCAATGGCTCAAAAGAGACCTCTCTATAAGAGGTCGCATTTTGATTAGCAATGCTGAGGGTATCTCCCGGCTGACTTATGCGGCCCTGGCTCTAGATCTTAATAGTAAAGTGTGTAAGGAGATTGATCGGTTATTACTTGACGTTGTTTGGAAAAACAAGACCCACTTTCTTAAAAAATCCTCCCTAATTAATGTGCTTCAAGTGGTGGTTTGAACTTGCTTCCCTTTTCTTCATTGAATAATACTTTTTTTTAAATTAACTGGATTCGTCAGTTTTTCAAGTCTCCTACTTCTATCTGGCATATAATACCCCATCACATTTTATCCCAACTTGGTGGTTTAAAGTTTTGATTTGCAACTATAATGTCGAAAAGCTCCCTGTTAAGTTATCAGCCTTCCATCGCCAGGCCTTCCTCTCATGGACACTCATGTACAAGCACAATTTCTCACCTCACCGCGACTTCATCTGGAATAATAAGGACATTCTTTATAAACACAAGTCTCTGTTTTTCAACTCATGGTTCCAGAATAACATACTTTTAGTAGACCAACTCTTTAATGCAGAAGGTCAGTTACTTTCCTATGGTGAGTTTTTACAACAGTATAATATTCCGATTACGCCGGGCGAATACGCAAAGGTTTTTGGAGCCATTTCTCCAGGAGTGTGTATGTTATTCAATCAGAGACCTAGATTAGATTAAAGTCAGTTCTCTCCTGTTTTTTCTCCAGTTCTGTCCCCAATCAGTGAAGTTTGTTGTAATTACTTTCCTAATAATAAAAACAAAGCAATTAGAACTCTCTTTCTTAAAGACATGACATCTCTTCCATGTGCCGTATCATACTGGAATAGATTTGTGGATGACTTGACATGGAGGAAGGTTTGGCTTCTACCCGATCAATTTCTGATCACTGATGAGGGTCTGACCTCATGAGGAAATTACTATGCAGTGATTTTCTCCAAAATGACTGTGCTTAAAATGCTCTGAAAAGCAAATAATCACATCAGCGCCAAGAAACTTCATTTCCCATGATGCTTTGCACACGGAAGCATTGGGATGATGTCACCGCCTAATACCAGAAACACGTTCTGCGCATGTGCGGGAGGCCGTGGAGCTTTTCCCGCGAACTAAGACCATAAATCTTCAGCAAAGACAAAGGAACCTCGTTCTTTTGCCCAGGATACCTGGCGGTAAGGACACGCTTGTCGAACGCTCCGACTCCCTTGAGCACGCGGAAGCTATAAGTGCCCAAGTTGAGCCCACGGGACCGCTGGGAAAACTAAACTACAAGCCATCAGGTCTGTTCAACCGCTCGCTGCTCTAGCAGCTGAAGGGAAGAACACAGAACCGGGCTGGAAAAATCAGCAACTCCGTCAAACTCACGGAGAACGCCAAAACAGCGGGGAAAGCCATCAAACGGATGGACGACGCCAAACTGCGGAGAAACACGGAGAACCGTCAAATCAAAACAGTGAGGGACGCTTCACTGTTCTGGTGATCAGAAAACTCATTTCTCTCTCTCCTTTTCTTCTCCCGTTTCCTCTATAGTCCAGAATAAGCAATAAAACCGCGCTATTGCTTAAAAAGTAGCTTCGTGTTTTCCTCTTTCGTTCCCAAAACACGTCCGCTGGGTCATTTTGAATAAATAAACTGCTTATTGATCATTGTTTGGTATCTTTAAATGTTTTCTGCTTGGCCACGTGGTTAAACTAAAAGATATTATTCGTGATTAATCCTTTGTGTTGTTTCATGATCCTTTGAAATGTTTTGAGTGAATTTAAGGTTAAGTTACTGATGATTCTAAGTGCCTTGGAAGTTAAAGTGCAAGTTGCCACTCACACTTTAGCCAGACAAAGGGGTCAGCCATCTTGCATACAGACTCCATTTTAGAAACACACACACACATACATACACACAAAACACCTTGAACATTATTTTGAATATACATCCCTTTATTATATCACATGGTTATTATTCATTTATGCCACTGTTTATTCATTTGACAAATTGTTAATTAAACGTTATAAAATTCAGATTTTCGTCTCCAGTAGCTTTGTTGTGTCGAAGAGAAGTCTCTGCTCCGAGGATTCTACGAACTTCAAGAAAGACTGATAAGAGTTTTGGATTCAATTTTTCCCCGGTTAAAGGGGAATGGTGCCCCGTATATCTAAGAATATCTTAATTAATTAATAAATCAGTAAATATTCCCATATTTACAGAATTTATTGAAGAATCCAAAAGTAAGTTGAAGCTTACTAATTGTTCGCTCCTAAGAACCCCAACATCACTAACAAGGTTAAATAAACTTCCTTTAAACTATTAACTAGATTCTACCCCTCTAAATGTTATTTAAAAAATTTAAATCAGACCTGGATGTATCTTGTACAATTTGTGAAGATCTTCCAGAAACAACAACTCATCTTTTTTGGCTGTGTACTCATTCCAAACGGTTTTGGCAGTGTTTCTGTGACATCATCTGCTGTAAATTCTCTGTCAATTTTAACATTTATTGAAAGCAGGTTTTGTTTGTCCTTCACCAGAATATTTTTAATAACTATTAAATTTTTATTAATCTGTTATTTCTCTTGGCCAAATTTCATATCCATAAAAATAAATTTCTTAAAAGCAAACCCAACTTTAACTGTTTCTTAGTGGAGGTCAACCATTATATGGACTCTATCCGGTTCTCACAAAATCAGAAGGCTGTAAAGACTACTCAAATAGGCACCCGCTTTAAGATAATCTGATTTATTACTATCTCTGTGTTGATGTTCTCTCTAGATATATGCTACTGTAATCAGTATTTTTCTGTACACCCATCTTTTTTATATCCCCTGGCACTTAGTTTACATTTTTGTGCACTTCTCACTTTTCTTATACGTTGTCAACTGTGAGCTTGTAAACTCATTGTCACATTGTATATTCTATTTTGTTAATAAAGGTTCATAAAAAAATTAACTCCAAAATATCTAAACTGGAGTACTTCACTTGCCAACAGTGATTTCAGCATCCACTTTGACTCTGGGAGGTTGAATCAGTCTTTATTTCTTTATAGAATTTGTTCTACACTTCACATCACACAGGGGCCTTTACGTCACCTTTATTTACCATAAATGGCTAAAACTGGTCCTTTTCTGCCACAATAATCACGTAATTTATGCTAATCCTAAAGCTCTTCCCCTCGGTACCCGCTGGTGTTTCTTACCTGCTCTGTGCGAGCTGCTCTGTGGTTTCCAGCTCATATCCGACAGTCTGCGCTGGCCACCAAGCCCTTCCTCGAACTGGGCCATGGCTTCTTCAACCTTCCTGATTTTTTCTCTAGCAATAGCTACTTGCTTGGTGACAAACTCCATCAGAGACTCTCCTGAATACATGTTTAATATTCACCTCACAAGGCTAAACAACAATAAACTAACGTTGCTAACGGTTCTTCTTTTTCAGTTCCTTCCTCTTGTCCACGAGGCTGAAGTTATCTTCCGTTCCCAACTATTCGGGAAACGGCTAAAAGGGGCAATTTTGTTTGTAAACAGGAACGCCCCCTGTTAGCAGAGTGTCGTTTCACGCAGCGGTCGGTCCAAATATCCCAAGCGGAGTCCCAGATTCAAAGGTACGGAATAAACGATAGATACAGAGCTTCTAGTTTCAACGGGCTTTCACTGACGCTAGCAACTTTGCAAACACAATGCTTCCCTTTTATGGAGTAAGGTCTAGCTGCAGACGAAGCCCCGACAAACCACGCCCCCATGTGCCTGTTGTGCTCCTCCGAGCTCCCCTGGTGGTCAGAAAAGGGAAATATTTCAATTACGCCAGCCCTCCCAGCGGGCGGGGAGAGCTTAAACCTGGGTCGGATCCAGGGCGCATCATCCCGCTGTCAGCTCCAGCAGGTGATGGCGGTGTTTCAAACCCTCCCAGCGGGGCAGGGGAGCTGAAACCTAGGTCAGATCCAGGGTGCAGCACCCCGCCTCATGCTCCAGCAGAGGAGATTGAGGTTTGATTCATATCTAACGCCTTTCAATGCGAACAATACAATTGAAATAATACGTTTATACATAAATAGTAACAATGTAATTAAACAGACAGGACTCCAGTTTTAAATATGAATGTATGGATATTTTTTTTCTTGCATACTTTATGGCTATCCCCAGTGGGATTATAAAACACGACACCACCAACCAGGGCCGGAGTGGGACACATTTTCAGCCCTGGAGTTTCAGACCCCAGACCGGCCCACTTAACGAATTATTATTATTAAAATCATGTTAGAACTTTATATGTATAGTCTACAAAAGCACACTACTCGGTAAAGCCTTGTAATTCAGTGCAAGAAAGAGTTGCTTTACAATGTAGGTTTATTTGAACATCAGTGCACATCTCCAACATTGTTCTTTACAACACATTCTCTAACAATATAACAATCTACATTCTGTTCAAACAGCTGTTCTGAGATTTTCAAACCTTTAAAATGAAATGACTCAGCACTCCCTTTCACACTTTTTCCAGTTTCCCTAGACTCACCTGCACACAATTAAAATAATCATCTGTAAAGCTTTAGCACATTTGATATGGAAAACACATCTTTGTAACCAATTAAAATATTTTCTATGGCAAAATATGCAGGCTTATTTCATTTTACTTTCATTCTAATAGCGATCTGTTGTGGGCTTTGTGCATTTACTAATAAAAATACAACAGGTCACTACTATTATTTGGACATTAAAATTATTATAATGAAACTGATGTTTGCACATGAGTTGGCTCACCTATTCCTTCTATCCCAACAGGAGCAATACCCTCACTGCTGGCTCCTGGCTCTTCTGACACTAAATCACATTGTGTGAAAATGGTCACAATTCAGCATTCATTTTCCTTTTTTACACGCTTTCTGATCAATGCTGAATCATCTAGCATTTTAGAACACTTTCATCATATAAATTTTAATAATATTCAGTTCACTGACTCAATAAGTAATCCTACCTGTACATGCCCGCTCTGGAATGGTGGGCTTCTGCCTGGTGCTTATTAGGCCTACTGGATCTTGTGTTTGACTCTGAGGGGCTACAAGACAGTTTGGTGGCATCAGTCACATCATACTGTTAATTATATTACATAACGTTATGTCATGATGCCATATAATTCATTATTGATGCTTAATTAACTTGAATGGTGATTTGCAGCCGGTAAAGTTTAACATCTTGACTTGCCTTACCCGTTTTATCTTCATTTGAAGTTAAAGACCGCGAGCTTATTTGAGAAAAAAAGGTGCTCATTTTTGCACATTTAGCTGCATCTGTTTCTAGCGCTTTCCTCTTTTTAATTCTTGCCTTCTCCGCGCCACCCTTGCTCTTTCTACTTTCCATCTTTCCGTCAACTGCATGGTCACGTGGTGCGCACAGGCGCATACAGGGAAAAAAAAAACGAGCGGCAGCCTGCAGGTAGAGCCAGCCAGAGACAGCCGGGAGGAGCGTATGAGATCAGCCCGGCGGCCTCAGTGCCATGACTGAACACCGGCACAAAAAAATAAAAATGATAAAAAAACAAAAACGAGAGCACCGGCCCATGCGGCCCAAACATCGCGCGGCCCACCGGGAATTCTCCAGACCCTCCCGATTAGCCACTCCGGGCCTGCCACCAACAAATAATCAGTTGCCGGACAATAGGCACAACATACCTATGCTCATTTAAGTTAGCAGGTGAGTAATGTATGTGCAAGTGTTTATTTTAAATGCAATAAAATAAAATATCAGAAAAATTAATTAGTGGTAATCGTTTTAATTAACCCCTTAAGCCCACTAGCCCCCATTTTTGGGAGCACGCCACAGCAACATTTAACTTTCAACCATTTGTTATTACAGGCACTAACAGTGGGTGTAAGTTCATACGAGTGAGTGGTTAATATTTATGTTACTATTAATGATTTTTTTTATTGCTTCTTTACAGTGAAAAGCTGCTGGTGTGTGATTTTTAGGCATATTTTCATGTGTATATATGTATTTCATATATTCTGTTAACAGGAATAATTGCTGGCCCTTTGACACAAAATGTATTATTTAGAAATTACTAAAATATTTTGAATTGAGTAAACAATTCACAAGACTAGTAAACTGATATTGACCATACACTAATCTTTAAAAAATATGCTGTAAACACAAAAGCAGAAAAGTTTTGCTTTAGAAAAAAAGTTCAGACAAATGAAATAACCAGCAACAGCTTTTATTGGCCTTACAAATACCTTCAAAAAAATGCCAACACAATGCTACAGCCTCTTCAAAAATTCAGATGAGTCCAGAGCTTTTCTGAATTTCTCCGTGTATATGAGCAGTTTCTGTTTTGCCTCCTTGCTCATGTTTTTTTCCATGGCATAGGACATCAGCTGCCTCTCACTAATGAGACAAAGACAAATAGCAATTAGTAAAAATGACATTTACACCTAGAGGCTGTCATAAACCATGTGAAAACAATACATATAGGCATTAGCACTGTTCTTGTGTTTGTAGAATACCTCCAGTCATACTGCAGCCCACTGCTGTACATTTCTGTGGCTTTGTCTGGTCAACATTCATGGACAGCTGAAAGCACATGGATGGTTGCCTGAGTAATGAGGTGAACAAAAGGACATCTTTCATGTAGACATTAGTCTGTCATGTAGCAGGTAACAAGATATTAACCATGAGTTATAGACTGACAACAGTAATGCTACAAAATATTTTCATGTGATACATAAAGATTTTCAGAATGTACCTCTGGCAGAAGCACATCCATAATAAATGCCACTTGATTGTGACATCCAGCAGTTCATTGCTGGTATGGACTCATGTGGTCGGTTCTGGCAAATGGTGAAAAGATTCTGGAAGCAGTTCCTTCCTGTATTTACAAATACAGGACAGAAAGTTACAAGGAAGTGCTTCCAGAATCTTTTCACCACTACCTGGAAACCTGCAGGAAGCAACCGACGAGAAGACGAAGAAGCCACTATTTTCCAGTGGGAATGGTGGCTTCTTGCCATTCAAGGTGTGTACACCAAAACACCAAAAACCAATTTTGTGTGTGTGTGTGTGTGTGTGTGTGTGTGTGTGTGTGTGTGTGTGTGTGTGTGTGTGTGTGTGTGTGTGTGTGTGTGTGTGTGTGTGTGTGTGTGTGTGTGTGTGTGTTTACAGAACACTGTATTATGGAACCAAATTGTTCCACTATAAAGATGGCCCTTACGTTGAACATTGGTGAATGTAGTTCCTGTAGAGGTGATGCCAGAATTGTCATTAAGAGCAAACCTGTCTACTCTGAAACAGTAGTTAGTGTATTTCTGAAATTATTAAGAATCTGTTTTGTTTTTCACTCATATTGACCAATGATATTCATCTTATTAATAACTACAAAGCATTTCACTATGATAATGAAAATTAACATCATACAAATTTTATTTGTCAGTGCGCTCCAGGGCAGCTGTAGCTACATTTTAGCTACTCACCACCAGGGTGTGAATGTGTATGTGGGCGGGTAAATTACTGATTGTGTTGTAAGGTGCCTTGGGAGGTTCCAGGACTGTAGACGGGCCGGATGTAGGCATGGGCTAGGAGGGGCAATGCCCCCCTAAAAATAGTGACTGCCCTCCCAAATCAGAGTCATGTAGAAATCCCAAATTTGAAAATCTCTCTCTCTCTCTCTCTCTCTCTCTCTCTCTCTCTCTCTCTCTCTCTCTCTCTCTCTCTCTCTCTCTCTCTCTCACTCACTCAAAGTAGCTGCTGATTGGTAGATGCATAGGGAGTGTGTGGCCAGCCACTGCACTTCGTTCTCTGTGTCTCACTCGCTTCACACGCCTCAGACAGCAGCAGAACACAAAGATGCACCATCATCATCTGAGCTCAGCCACTGGTTGAAGTTTTCTTCTTCTGTCGGTCACTGGAATTATTTGGTACTCTTTCTCAAGGTTTTAGTTTGCCTCGTTCTCTTCTTGAAATTGTTTTTGAAGTGAACCGAGTCGACAAGGCGCAGATTTCTGGTTTCTTAACCGAGCAACAGTGCTAAGGCACTAGCGGATGAAGCCGGCTCGTTGGCTGCTGCTTCTCAACCATCGACATTAATATATGGACAATGGGTTTCCATAGACTCCAATAACAAGTTTTTCTGCTAAAATGGGAGGTGGCCACCACCCCCATTTTGACCGTGTCACAGGTTCCGTCAAGCTCAGACAATTCCATAAAAGGGAAGAGAGGAGGAGCTGAGGGTGGGGCTGTAAGGCTGGGATCAACTGACGACACCCGGTCGAACTAGCTACAAGCTATCCTGAAGCTAACCTAAAGCTAATGCAGAGGTGGGAGCTAAGCTAACGGAGGTAGCAACCTAGCTACAACCGGAGTTAACTGTGCACAACACCAGAGCTTCTGAGTCAGAGATACGCCGGGCTGACCGCTGGGTAAAACTGGGTGGAACACAGAGGTCCGGAGACCTCCACAAGCCGGCAGCCGCACAGCAGACAAGCGCTGCTGCGATCTGAGATGTGCAGAGCTGCCGCTGGGGAGAACTGGGTGGAAAGGTTTCCATCCCAGAGCTCCACAGCCGTCAGCCCGCGCAGCAGTCAGGAGCCGCGATCAGACCGATGCGCCGAGCTGCTGGGAGAACCAGCCGGCATTCCGGGTGGAAAACATTGGTCTCCCGAGAGCTCCACAAGCCGATAGTCTGAACCCAGCTCCACCAACATGTTATATTTCAACCCATTTTCTAAA